CGGGCCTAGAGAAGGGTCTAGGCCCGAAACGTCAGCCTTCCTGCTCCTCTGATGCTGCTTGGCCTGCTGTGTTCATCCAGCTCTACACCTTGTTATCTCAGTTTCTCCAGCATCTGCAGTTCCTACTATCTCTGAATCCATACTAACCTGTCTGGTTTCATGGTGCTGTGCTGTTTGAGGAACTTCTCCTAAAATAGTTCTGTTCTCCGTAGCAGTATTTCCTTTCGGATATGTATAAGGTCAGTTTTATAACAAAATTACAACCTTAAGTTGGCAATGCCAGACTTGTGCATTGAGCACATGTTCAAGTTTTAAAAGTACAAACATTGCATTCAACTTTATTCCTTATCCACCTTTGCAAAGCAGGTCAGGGAGCCCTGTCTGCACCCTGTCTGTCTCCATTTCAAGTACTTGTTTAGATGTCCAGGTGTGTTGACCCGGCTACCGACTTATTTGTAAATATTTTCCTTGTAAGCCACTTTAAATAAATGAAGAAATTTTACGTTACAGGCAGTCCGCACTGTAATTTGCCTCCGTTTGGTATTATTTCACTTGAATGTCAAAATGTTATTCAGATTGGAAATTAATTGAGCATCACGAGATGCACTTAATATTGTTTACAGCAGTAAATTCTCTGACTCATGTGGAACTATTTTGGTGTAACCTGCAACCTCTCCAGTACTGGGTTGCCAATTGAGGTCTTCAACAGGGACTCCCATTCAACATACCCCAGTCCGTCTGCTGGAGCTGCACCTTGCCCATGGCCACAATGCAGCCGCTGCCCAAAAACATCCTCCTGGCCAGGGTACACAAGCCACACTCGATCTTGGTTGCCAACTAAACCCCAACCGGCCTACAGGATACCAATGCTTTGGTAATCTGGCAGCTCTCCTGAGCCCATGGGGCACCAGCAAAGTTGTAGATTGACAGAGCCCCAGCTTGTGGCGTGGCAACGACATCGGACCCAAACACCCCAACACCCCGCGCTCCTCTGAGGCAGCAGTGGAAATAGCATGGCCGCTGTGATGGATTGCAGCCCACAGCCATCAGAACAAAGTGGGAAAGCCAGCAAACTACATGTGGATCCATAGCTCCATCAATCTGTGACCTAAGCTGACACCACAAGTGGCAGCAGCCCAGAAAGAAGGGGTGCACTGGGCGCCTGAAAAGGCACCACCATGCAGAAACCACAAGATGACCAGGAACAAGTGAGGGCCTTAGCTGGCAATCCATAACCCATCGAGCAATGGCCCTCCCTGCCACAGACCCTAAGCAGCGCCATCACCATCACCAAAATTAGCAGGTCCATAAGACTATAAGACATAGGAGCATAAATTAAGCCATTAGGCCCACCAAGTCTGCTCCTCCAATCAATCATCGATGACAAGTCTCTCAACCCGTAATGCTTGATCCCCATGAAATCAAGAAAATATCTATCTCTGTCTTAAATATACTCAATGACCTGGCCTCTACAGCCTTCTGTGGCAATGAATTCCATAGATTCACTACTCTCTGGGTGAAGAAGTTTCTCCTTATCTCTGTTCCAAAAAGGTCTTTCCTTTACTCTAAGGCTGTGCCCTCTGGTCCTAGTTTCTCCTGCTAATGGAAACATCTTCCAGACATCCACTCTGTCCAAGCCATTCAGTATTTTGTAAGTTTCAGTTAGATCCCCTCTCATCCTTCTAAACTCCATCGAGTATAGACCCAGAGCCCACAAATGTTCCTCATATGTTAAGCCTTTCGTTCCTGGGATCATTCTTGTGAACCTTCCCTGGCTTCGCTCCAAGGCCAGTACATCCTTCTTGAGGTATGGGGCCTAAAAGTAACTCACAATACTCTAAATGTGATCTGACCTGAGCTTTATAAAGCCTCAGAAGTACATTCCTGCTTTTATATTCTACTTCTGGAAATAAATGTCAACATTGTGTTTGCATTCCTAACTACCGACTCAACCTGCAAATTTACCTTAAAGAATCCTGGACTAGAACTCCCAAGTCCCTTTGCACTTCAGATTTTTGAATTTTCTCCCCATTTAGAATATAGTCCGTGCCTCTATTCTTTCTATCAAAGTGCATGACCTCACATTTTCCCACATTGTATTCCATCTGCCACTTCTTTGCCCAATCTCCTATTCTGTCCAAATCTGTCTGCACCCTCCCCGCCTCCTGAATACTACCTGTCCCTCTATCTATTTTTGTATCACCTGCAAACAACCAGAATGCCCTCAGTTCCTTCATCTAGATCATTAATGTATGATGATCACTACAAGAGGGACTATAAGTAAAGTATTAATAAATATTAATTTTAATATTTATTTAAGTAGTTATTTTATTATATTTCATTTAAAGTACTGTATTTCAACTTAAAGACTACAGGTATAATGTTTTTTTTTCTCTGCTGAGCAAGCCCCAGCAAAACGTCTCTCCAACTTGAACATTGATTCCTATGAGATTAAAAATCGGAATTTTCAGGAACACAGTCTGACTGAAGTGAAAATGCCCAGTTTTTCCAACTTGTTTGATTTCCAGAATTAGATTTATTTTGTCACAGCTCTGTTTTTCTACAATTAATTAAATTTTAAACATTGACTTTTGACCTCAAAGATTCCAAATAACTTTTGAGTAATGTGTAGATTTTTCCTCCTTAGTTCTTTGAAGCATTTGTCAGTTAATTGAAGAAATAACTTTAAACCGCCTTCTTGCTTGATGAATTCGCTGCTTAATCAAGTAATGAAACAAAGAATTCAATTTATGTAGCTTTCCCTTTTTGAAACATCTTAAAATTTGTCACACCTAATAAAATGCTGTCTACTGTGCCGCATGAAAAATACAGCAGCCAACTTGTGCATGTTAATTCTCCCATAGAGAAGAATCCCAACGTAAATCTGATATTGTTGAGGGATGAAAATTGTTAAAGACTCCAGAAAGCTGTGCATTTTCAAATAATACAATAGAATCTTTTACGTAAAGAAGAACTGGCCTCAGTTTAATGTCTGGTCAGAAAGATGCTACCTCTGACAACGCAGCACCCGCTTACTACCAGACTGAAGTTTCAACCTAATTTACTTGTCCTTCTGTATGATGTAACTGAGTAATTATTAAACTGACCCTATTATTTCTTCAGACACATAATTAACACCTCCACCAAAGCTTGACTCAAGATCCTATTCTTGCCAGATCACACCCGACATCGCTCCACTCTTTACTGAAATGAACCAGACCTGACCTGACATCCTCCTCCTTGCGCCACAGCTGGATCCAACCTGAGCACCCGTCCCAAAATTCTGGACCCAATTCCCCCTTCTGCCGTACTCAACCTGACATCTCCACCCCTTCCCCAAACACCCCAACAAAGCCGACTTGACCTAGCACCCTTGTTAAAGACTTAACCCTATCCAAATCCTGGCTGGATCCATCTACGCTAAACATTGCATCATGTAACTTGCAGTTTGGCACCCTGCCACTTCCAACTTGGCATCCTACACCCTGCACCCCACCCACATACGCACGCACCCACATGAAAATCTGCCCATACTGCTCATACTGCCACCCTAGGAAGGTCAATGAGCACACACCAGGAGTTGAAATGGGGTTCTCTTGGTTTGTAAATTTCAGTTAAAAATTGCACTTTTATTGATGATTTCCCACTTTAAAAAAGTTACATTGTGTTCCAAGTAATCATTAGCAAATTTTTGTTACTGAGAATGTTGAATTGATAACTATCAGGTTCACAAACAAAGCATTAGCTTAATTGCAATAGAATGTAACAGCAGTCAGTGGGTACTTCGGGTACTTTGAATAAATCCCTGGATAGGAGGGTGAGTTTATTGCATTTGTTGAATACTTATCATGGAAAAGTCCTAATTCATAAAGAGAATTTGACCTTTTTTTAAATTCAGTAGAAAGCTATTTTTGGGTCTATGAAGGAAATATGAGCTTAGTTCACAGGTAACTTTATGTGATTCATGGAAATTGCCAACCCAATATTGCGAACAAAATTTATAAGATTTTAGAGTCAAAACCTTAACAAAGAAAGTGAATTATCAATTGGGGCAGAAATCTCTGAAGTGAACCATGCTAAATGATTATATTGTACACTCTTAACAGCTACTCCAGTTTATAAATTGCATGTAAGATTGAGATCCTACACCGTTCATAAGTATGCCACGAAGCCTCAATTAAATAATGTACAGTTCGAGCAGGAATAGTCATCGAATCCATCCTTCATGTTTTTCCTGTGGTGAATGCATTTTAATTCATAAAATTATGCCATATCTCTGCTGATTGTTTACAGTGACCTCTCATTGCCCAATGTACTACTTACCTGATAATTGCTATATTACAGCTCCCTCAATAACCAACCAGTCGATAGAAAACATTACGAATGTCATTCAGTGACTGTTTGCACAGCACAGAAGCATAGACAGAACTGATGAAAGGAAAATAACCTGAATTTACATAGCAACATCATCCATGAGTGCAGGATGCCCTTAATCACATTTCAGCTACTTAAGTGACTTTGAAATGCAGATATTATTGGGAGAACTGACAATCAGTTTGCAAACAGCAGCATCTCAGAAGCTGTCATAAGTCACATAACTAGATAATCTGTTGCAAGATAACTTTTGGCTTTTAAGAACTTCCACGCTGTTATTTACAAAATGTCATAAGATTTTGTATGTCTAGAGACAAGGCCTCAGTTTAACATTTCATCCCCGGATAATGCGGCAAACTTTATTGTGTAGTGCAGTATCTACACTGTAGCTTGAACCTTCTTCCCAAGAAATAGGAGTGATACCACTGAGCCAAGGCTAATAAGTTTTATCAGTAACTAAAGAATCAGTTGTGCAAGATTACACAAATATTAAATATTTCTAATATGAATTTTCATACCCGTTATATTGAAGATTTAACTATTGTTTAAATTTGTACTTTTTAACTTCATTTGCAGTACTTGACTGTGTAAGAGATATGGCTGAGTCGGTGCTGATTACTTCTGTGATAGACCAAGCCTATTTGCCAAACTCAAGAGCACAGGTTGGCAACAGAATGAAGAATTCCAATGATGAGCCAGTAAGCAAGCACATAACTGATGTGATGTAGTCTGTGATTTATATATGTTTTTAATATCACTTATTTTGTCTGAAGACTGTAACAGTTAACTTAGAGATATTTCAGGTGCCATGGCGATTTATTACAAAACAATATGAGGAGGTTAGCTTCAGGGTTACTGGGCTTTTGTATACGTTAGGAAAGTTTATGATTGAACAAGGTAAACAATTGTGCAACATAGTTTTTGTTAGACATTTTTGGACTTGTTTGTTGTTAAGCTGAGAGGAAACACATATAGCTTGAAAATTAAAGTTTTATTTACTTTCCGTCTGAGTCAGTTTTGCAGAAGTTCTTAGATGAAGATGGATGTATAAAGCAGTGCTCCTAAGAAAGGGAGGGTCAAGAACAATAGATTACCCTAGAGTCAGGGGTTTAGGAGTAGTTTGAGACTAGAAGTTTCTGGATAAAATCTTGAATAGACTATTTGAAGCTGAGAACAATTAAACTCATGTGAATGATAGTTCCAAGAAAAGAGTATTCAATCCAACATTTGCGTGAAAATAACACTAAAGTAAGACTCCTTGATAATCTTCAGATTTGTCAGTTTTTGGGTAGTCTTCCCTTCAGGCTGCCTGTCCCACTGGCTGTGCCCAGAAGTCATTCCATTGATTCTTTTTAGCTGGAGAGGGGCCAGCCATCCACTTTTTTTACTTGGAACTATAATATCGTTCCGCCGCTATCATTGGTTTAAAATCATGGAACTTCCTCCCTAACACCATTGTGTTACTACCTATACCGCATGGACTGTAGCAGTTCAAGAAGTTAGCTGAGCTGAGCTGCTGAAGTCATGGACCCCATTACAGAGGACCTCTACGATCACCATTAACAGCAGCAGAGTGACTTTGAGCTAGTTAGAGTTGAATAAATTTGTGTCGATGGCTGTAAGCTTCAGATTAAATTTTCTAACCATACACAGTCAAATGTTTTCAATAGCTGTAGGAGAATATGTTGAATAATAATGTACTTTCCTTGACTTTCTTTTTATGCAGAGCGCTTGTTCAGAAATGTTTGTGTTGATTAACACATTCTTAAACCTGAAATCAATTTCACTAATTTCATTGTATGTATTGTTCATCAAAATACCTTTGCATGACTCTCCAGTTGTAATATTTTACAGGTAGAGTACTGTCCTAGTTCTGCTGTATTTCGATCTGCAGCTGCTATGGGAAAGGAGTTGCTTCTGAGCAGGAAGAGACCATTTGTTGGACGGTGCTGCCATGTGTGCTCTCCAATAAGTAGGGTAATTGTACTGATGCATTAAGCATTTGTCCTTTTAAACTTTTAAAATATCTTTTAAACATTATTGTTTATTATGTATAATTTGATTAACATTTATATAATGAATATGACATATGTTTGGTTCCATCGTTTAATGAAGAGTCATACAGTTGTGCAGCGTGGAAAAGACTCTTCGGTCCAACTCATCCATGCTAACCAGATATCCTAATTTAATCTGGTCCTGTTTGCCAGCATTTAGCCCATATCCCTCTAAACCCTTTCTATTCATGTACCCATCCAGGTGCCTTTTAAATGTTGTAGTTGTACCAGCCTCCACCACTTCCTCTAGTAGCTAATTCCATACACGCACCACCTTCTGTGTGAAAAAGTTATCCCTTAGGCCCCTTTAAAATCTTTCCCCGCTCACCTTAAACCCATGCCCTCTACATTTGGACTGTCCTACACTGGAAAAAAGACTTTGGCTACTCACCCCGTCCATGCCCCTCATGCGTTTATAAACCCTCTGTAAGATCACCCCTCAGCCTCTGATACTCCAGTGAAAACAGCCCCAGTCTATTCAGCCTCTCCATATAGCTCAAACCCTCCAATCGGGCAACATCCCTTTTCTGAACTCTTTCAATTTTAACAAAGTCTTTCCTATAGCAGGGAGATCAGAATTGAATGTAGTGTTCCAAAAGTGGCCTAAACAATGAACTGCACATCCGCAACATGACTTTCCAACTCCTGTACTCAATGCACTGACCAATAAGAGCAAGCATACCAAGTGTCTTCTTCACTACCCTGTTACGTGACTCCACCTTCATGGAACTAGGAGCCTGCACCTCTTAGTCTCTTTGTTCGGCAACACTCTCAAGGACCTTACCATTAAGTGTATAAGTCCTGCCCTGATTTGCCTTACCAAAATGCAACACCTCACACTTATCTAAATTAAACTCCATCTGCCACTCCTCAGCCTATCTGATCAAGGTTCTGTTGTACTATGAGTCAACCTTCTTCACTGTGCACTACACCACCAATTTTGGTGCCATCTGCAAACTTACTAACCATTCCTCCTACATTCACATCCACATCATTTATATAAATGACTAAAAGCACTGGACCCAGCACTGATCCTTGCGGCACACTGCTGGTCATTGGCCTCCAGTCCGAAAAGCAACCCTCCACCACCACCCTCTGTCTTCTACCTTCAAGCTAATGTTATATCCAAATAACTAGCTCTCCCTGGATTCCATGTGATCTAACCTTGCTAACAAGTCAACCATGCAGAATCTTGTCGAATGCCTTACTGAAGTCCATATAGACAATGTCCACTACTTTGCCTTCATCAGTCTTCTTTGTCACTTCTTCAAAGAACTCAATCAAGTTAGTGAGACACGATTTCCCACGCACAAAGCCACGTTGACTCTCCTTGATCAGTTCTTGCCTTTCCAAATACATGTAAATCCTGTCCTCAGAATCCCCTCCAACAACTTACCCACCACTGACATTAGACTCACTGGTCTATAGTTCCCTGGCTTTTCCTTACCACCTTACTTAAGTAATGGCACTACATTAGCCACCCTCCAGTCTTCCGGCACCTCACCCATGGCTAATGATGATGCAAATATCTCAGCAACAATCACTTCCCCAGCTTCCATTCAGATGTTTAATGATGAGCCAACAGATTTAGGTAACTTTCTTGTGACTACTAAGGCAGAATTAATCTTTCAAATTTATTGACTTTCTAGGTTTACTTTAGTTATTGTAGAGCAGAATTCCAAAGGCGGAGTTGGGAAATGAGAACACAAACCAGTTTTTTTTGTATTTCTATAAATCTTAGAGGCTTCATATCAGTGGTCAAGGAAAGATGTTTCTATCTACCTTTTAAAAATAGTCTATAGAACAGGAGTGAAACTAATAATAAAGCTATAAATGACCAAATAGTAAAGGAAGAATTCCTTTAGGTAAAACATGTCCTTTTTTAGAACGTTAGGAGAAGTCAATGACAATAAGTCAGAACAAAACCAAGGTTATAAGAATCTGAGAGAAGGGAAACTAAAATTGAGAAGTACCAATTGGAACATGTAGAGCAGTCTAACATGCAGTACATTTAGTGCTGGAATGATAGATTTGAACAGAATCATAGAGTGATTGCAGCACAAAAAAGAGACAATTTCCGGTACAAGAAGTATAAAGAAAACTGCTGTTTTGGGAAGGTAAGGGAAAGGGAAGGGATAGGAGAGCAATTGAGAATCAGAGGAGACTTTTGGAAAGGCCGTCAGATACTTGGCAAATGGATGAGGTGTGGTGAACTGCGTGTTATTTTCTGCTTGTTGCTGTTTTACCAGCTGTTTATTTAAGATGCACAGAGCAATTTCATATATTAAATGCTTTTTGGTTTAAACATTTATTCTTGATTTCTTTTGATTTTCAACCTTCGATGTAAAAAGCAGAAGCAGGGAAGTGAAGGTTTAATCTTCTATCTTATGGCTTTCTGAAGATTTTGTGTTTGTGAAGATAGGTGATAGTATCTTGCACTCGGAATGCACCACAGCTGCATCTCTAAGTTAACTGCATTGCTTAAACTATCCATATTTTTCCCAGCAATTTTATTTTCCCTGTTTCTTTCCTGAACAATTCGACTCCTTGCTTTGTATAAATCCAAGCACTTTGGAAACTCTTGGCCGAATAACTATTATTCATATTCAAACCAAGATAAACTTAGCAGGCTGCTCAGTCAACATCTCGATTTTGTCTTTGCTTGATGTCTACACATGCACAATTATGGCAGGTTTTGGTGAATACCTTTGGGAGTCCTGGCTGACTTTTAGTTCCCTAATTCAAGGGAATGGAAATAATTTATAATGTTTCTGACATGTGACTGAAATCAGATAATTCGTCACCGACCAGGTGGGAAAAATCTTTCCAGGTTATGATTGACAAAATGCCCTTTTTGTTGTTTACACCAACTATTTTTGTTGCTGTCTGTCTGAGATTGTTAATTTATTACCAAATTAAGGAATGTTTGAGAATGCTAGGCTCATTTCATTTAGAATCCTTATAGAGGAGATGTTTTGCATCAGAGGAGTGTCTGGATTCTAACCCAGGTCAGAGGTGAAAGGCTAATGTGCTTAACCCAGTCTGACACTGTGTTTTAACTCACTGTTCAGAATTTTCATGCTGCAGTTACAATAAAAAGTTTGAAAGAAGTCTTTTCTTTTGGTGATTGAACAATGTTGTTTTAATAATTCTGAACATAGTGCAAAATCATGACTTCAGTCTTTCATTTTTTGCTACCCAGGATAAACTTTTCAATACCAGCATCCCTTCTCAGGGACTACGGAATGTGATTTATATTAATGAAACGCACACCAGGTATGATCTGAATCTGTGATGAAAATTAACCAAGCAAAAAATGGAGAATTTTTTTTTTCTATTTAATGAATAGGTATTTATAAGATGTACTGATCCAATTCACAATCTGGGAGCAATCATAGAATCCCTTCAGTGCAGATAGAGGCCATTTGGCTCATTGAGTCTGCACCAATCCTCCAAAGAGCATCCCATGCTATCCCTGTAACCCCACATTTTCCATAGTTAACCTGGCCTGCACGTCCCATAACACTATGGGGCAATTTACCATATCCAATTCACCTAACCTACACATCTTTGGACTGTGGAAGGAAACCGGAACACCTGAAGGAATCCCACGCAGACACAGGGAGAAGGTGCAAACTCCACACAGACAGTCTCCCAAGACTGGAATCGAACCCAGGCCCCTGATATTGTGAGGTAGCAGTGCTAATCTGGACTGATATGACACCTTTCCAAAAAGCATTCATTTAGTTAAATTTTTGAGACTGATCTTAATGTTGCCTCATTCCATTTTTACAGTACTCCTTCTGAGATTACTCTACTTTAAAGATTGTGTGAGCATTGTTAGGTTCAACTCATGTCTTTTTAGTGTACAGTAAGTTACCACATATGGCTTGTATATAATTGTGGACCACAGCCCCCTGTACAGTGAAAACTCAAATGGTTAACTTGAAACAGATTTTACACCTTGTTAACAATACTGAGAAAAATGCATATTGAGTTGTTAAAGGTACATGTTACTTAAAATTTGAAACTTATCGAAAGCGCAACCAAATTGAATTGAGCATCAAGCATCATATTAAGATTGTTCAAGTTGATCAGCAAGTCCCAGCTTGTTTGTTGGAAAAAGCATAAATGATTTCTGTCTCCTACTGTTGAATCTTTCACTTGGATGATTCAATAGCTTAAGTCAGGCCACATTTTTAAGATACATTTTAGAGCAGCATGGTGACTCAGTGGTTAGCACTGCTGCCTCCAAGTGCCGGGGACCTGGGTTTGATTCCAGCCTTGGGCAACTGTTTGTGAAGAGTTTGCATATTATCCCCATGTCTGCACGGGTTTCCACTGGGTGCTCCGGTTTCCTCCCACAGTCCAAAGGTCCGTAGTTTCTAGGGATGTTCAGGCTAGGTGGATTAGTCATGGTAAATGTGGGGTTATAGGGATAGAGTAGGGGGTTGGGTTTGGGTGGGATGCTCTTCGAGGGTTAGTGCAGGCGAATGGCCTCTTTTCACGCTGTAGGACATGTGAACATGTGACGTGAGCTTTTTCGTAATATTTGTCAGGTTATTCTATATATGTATTGTAACAGACAAATAATTTGGTGAATTTACACCTATGAATGCTAAAGTTATCATTTGGAAGGCTCTGCAATTTCTAGGCAGGCGCATCAAATGACGTGGCAGCCAGTATGATTATTCTTGCATATTTCCTCATGGCCAGCTGAGAAATAATGCTATTAAAGGTCTGAAAACAGATTTCTTGTGCACCCACATTATTAATTGGGAAATGGTGTGCGGTGCAGTGGGAGCAAAAGAGAACAGACAAGTAACCAACGATGGGGGGCAAAAACATGAATTGCACCTAACAACTGTCACGTATTTGTTGCCAATTACTTAACAATGTATAAGGTGAAAAGTATTTATTTAAAAATTGCGGTTCAGCAGCATTTTCATTATTTTTCCTGTTGTTAAATCAATTTCAAATCCTTGTGAGGCCAGAAAGAAGAAATGCTTTACGTTAAAAGTGAGAGCTCTGGTGTTGTTACAATGGGGCAGTGATGAAATTATTCAACATTTGCCATGTCTTTATTTGGCGATTTAGGTATCGAGGCTGGCTTGCACGGCGTCTCTGCTATGTCTTGTTTATTCAGGAACGAGATGTGCATCGTGATATGTTTCCAAGGAATGTGATTGAGAATGTTTTGAACAGTGACAGGTATGGAAAGCTTAGCTGCTTTGATTTACCAGCTGTTTTTAATAAATGATTTTCTCAAAGTTCAATAATATCATGAAGACTTGTCACTATCACAATATAAATAACGGGAGCAACAATAATGAAAGAAATCCTTCAATGTGAATTGATCCTTTCTGAACCCCTAACCAAGAAAACCACTTGTGTTGGATATGGAATATTCAGTCAGTGTCATTTTTTTTCCAAGGATGAGCAACTCCACATCAGTTTTCAAGCCAGTTCAGAGTTATACTTCTATTTCTAAGAAGCACACAAGTGTCATATTGAGGTCATTTGGGGGCAGAGAAAGAGAGGGATCACATCTCAAATAGAGCCATGTATTATCACGGTGGACATCTTCAATAATTTGGACGTTTCTAGCTCTTGTCACTTTAGTTTATAAAATGGGGGTTGACTTGAAATAACATATCTTTGTAATTAGTTTTTAAACAATTTAAGGCAAGATAATAGATCCTTTGATGGTTCTGTAAGAGCATTTAGATAATAGCGCAATGATGATTTAGTGAAATCGGAATAGTCACTGGCATGTCACTTTACTGGTTATGGGTCTACTAGCGTGATGATTATATACTTAAACAAGTATGAAATCTTGGGTGAATTTCAGTCATGTGAAAAATCAAAAACCCAAAAGAATTCCTGCTGTTGTTTTTAACCTAGATAAGCAGACCATTCTACCACAGAAACTGCTGGCAAGTTCCAATAGTTTGGCACAGTTCCTACAAAAGTTTGATCATGAGGAATCCTGGTTTTGGTTCTGCCTGTCTTGAAATGGCAACATGAATTGAGAGCTTAAAGCTGGAAAAATGGATGGTGAAATCTTAGACCCAATGCAGTTACAATCAGTTCTCAAACAAAAAGTTCAAGAATTTTGCTCAAGGCCACAAAAAACGTTCTCCTAAATACACATAGCTTATAGGCATGATTTATTTTGTTCTCACATTCTAATACTGTTTCTCTAAACATGATGTGGAGATGGTGGTAGACAAAGTCAGAAGTCACACGACACCAGGTTTTGATCCAGCAGGTTTATTTGAAATCACAAGCTTTCAGGGCACTGCTCCTTTGTGTTTTTTTCAGCTGTTGGTACACTTCTTCTCAGTAGTCCGTTTTATTCTATATGGCGATGGCTCCTCCTTTGTCTACTGGTTTGATGACGAGGTTGCAGCTGGCCTTGAGAGCATGGATGGTGTTGCATTGTGCTTAAGTGATGTTCTGGACTGTCTTGGGAACGCTGCTGATGAATCTGGTGTTGACGCATCTCCTGACAGCTTGACCATACACGTCAAGACTAGGACAGCGGCTTTCCAGAGTGGTCCAATTCAACTTTTTTCTCCTTTGGTTGCTGCACGTTGGAACCCTCTGTAACCTGACGAAGGAGCATTGCTCCAAAAGCTTGTGAATAAACCTGTTGGACAATATCCTGGTGTTGTGTGACTTCTGACTTTGTTTCACTAAAGAATACACTTTACCATTGTTATGTAGAGAGAGTGAGACAACTAGGTAGAGATTTTGTATTCATATGTAATTAATTTTGTATACATCTCCCATACATGGGTATATTTGGAGGAAGATGCTGTCATTTTACTGCATGTCAGATTGCAGCAGTGAGAATCTTGTACCATCTTTCCAACTGGGACTTGTTAACCTGGAGCTGGTGAGTTGTGAGCACTGACCCAATGCTTCAAAGCAGCTGGTTGGTCAGGGAGGATGTGAAATCATCCAGCACCTGTGTTTGGCTGACTGCTAGTCCACTCCTTGTAGCAATGCAGACTCAAGGAATGGAATGCACAGATTCAGGTAGTGGACCAGAATAAAGCAAAATAATGTAACTGGTCTATTTTTGGAGCAGCCTGCAGTGACCTTTTTAAGGGAGGCTGGTTAGACTATTCCACATTTGGGATCAATCAATGAGATTGGTGCAGTTCACAAAAGGTGTAGGATCCCAGTTCTTTGCATCAAAACGAGGCTCATGCTTGTTTCAGGCTTAGCCCACTAGCTGTCTACTCTGACACCCATGTGATGATCCCCATGAGTTACTTAATCTCACCTGATACCTGCATAAAATTCCCCTCCCCTTCTTCCAGGTGCTGATCCATACTGAAGTAGGATTCAGTGGATGCCAGCAACCCTTTTAAATTAGGTAGATTCCCGTTCTTTGTAGGTGAGTGTTCACGGGTATTTTAGACATGACACCACCAAAGTTCAATTGCCAGCCGAGCTAGAAATAGTGGGTCATAGTTAATGATTGCTTTTCAGTCTGGAGGAAGGTTAATCATGGAGTTCCTCAGGTCCGTGTTAGGTGTTCCTGATAAATATTAATAACATAGACCTTTACGTACATGGCAGAATTTCAGAATTTGCAGATGATACAAAACTGAATTGTGAGAAGGATAATGTTGAGCTTCAAGAAAGGACATAAGCAGGTTAGTTGAACGTGTGGACAAGTGGCAGATAAATTTTGATTCAGAGAATTGTGAAGTGATTTATTTTAGTTGAACGAATGTAAAAGTGCAATATAAAATAAAGGACACAATTCTAAAGCGGTGTCAAAGCAGAGGGAACATAGGGTTATATATCTAAAGGATTGATGGTGGCAGGACAGGCTGAAAGTGCTTAATAAATAAAGCATATGGTATATTGGGCTTTTTCAATATGGGCATAACGTATAAAAGCCAAGTTAAAACTATAGAAAACACTAGTTTGACCTCAGCTGGAGAATTATGCCCACTTCTGGGCATTATGCTTCAGGAAGTGTATGAAGGTTTAAAAAAAGTGCAGAGAAAGTGCCAAGAATGGTTCCAGGGATGACGAACTTCAGCTATTTAGGTTGGAGGAGTTGGAATTGTTCTCCTTGGGGAAAAGAATGTTAGGAAGTAATTTAGAACAATAAGAAACAGGAGCAACAGGGCCTCTCAAGCCTACTCTGCCGCTCAATAAGATCACGCTGATCTGTCTTGGGTCTTAACTCCTGTTTCATGCCAGTTCATCATTGTTCTCAATTCCCCAGTATTTCAAATAACTGTCAACCACTTCTTCAAATTCTTTCATTGATCTCATCTCCACAACTCTCTGGTTAGAGAATTCCTAGCATTCACTACCCTCTGAGAGAAATGTCTTCAGTTTTAAATGAGTGCCCTCTTAATCAGTAACTATATCTCTTATTGTGATTCCCTTTCTAGTGATAATATCTTCTCTGCATCTACCTTGTTAAGCCTCTTCAAAATCTTGTATGTTGCAATAAAATCACCCTTCATTCTTCAGAACTCTAATGAATAAAAGCCTAACCATTTAGCAGTCTTGACTAGTCAGTCCCTTCAGACCAGTATCAACTTAGTGAATCTCCTTTGAACTGCCTCCAATGCCAGTATATCCTTTATTAAATACAGGGATCGAAACTGTACACCTGGTACGGCCTCACAAACAACCTGTAAGGTTAAAACAAGAAATCCCCTCTCCATCAATGAAGGCCAAAATTCCATTTGCCAACTAGAATGTTGTTAGGGCTGATACTTTTGCTATATTCAATGACTTTAGTAATCTTGCATTTTCATGTGAAATCAAACAAATTGTCAGACATCTAGGATGATAGAGGCCTCAGGAGGAGGCAGAAATATATTATTCACTTAGCACTTCTGGCTAAAGGTGGTTGCAAATGCTCTACCTCCAAAAACTTTGTTGTTTGCTCTGTTGTACTGGGCTGTCTCCATCATTGAGGATACAATTTTTTTTGGAGTCATCTTCTCTTGTTAGTTATGTAATTGTTCACCACCATTCAAAACTGGGATGTGCCAGGACTGCAGAGCTTTGATCTGATCCAAACAACATCTGAGGAGAGAGAAAAAACAGAGTTAACATTTCGGGTTGATGACCTTTCATCACACCCAGGAAAAATTAGTTCCATGATAGATTTCAAACAAGTGCAATCGAAGAAGCTGGATAAAAAACAGAACAGAGTATGTGTGATAAAGTGGTAAATGGGAGAGATTAAATGACACCAAAAAGTTGGTGGTACAGGGTTAAGCAATGCAGTAATGAGGCAAATAAGGAAACAAAAGATGTGCATAGAAGAGGTGTGAATAGTAGAATGAAGAGCAGCTGCTGTCAGAAACAGAGGGAAGAGCATGAATGAGGTCAAAATATGCAAAGAAAAGGAAACAAGACGCAGACTTTTTGGGGGAGAGGGTGCAGTGGAGGGAAGGAGGGCAGTCGATGGAACGAGTGAGCGGATGGGTGGAGATGGAGCCCAGAGAGAGAATAACAGTTAGGCAGACAAGGGGATGGATGATATTTTGCCAGAGAGAAAGAAAAGCTGCTAATGGGGACCATCAGTTGGTGAAAATGGGTCGGCTATGCTAAAAGCTGTCCCTATCATGATACCCTGAGGTGTGGGGATGGGTAAAGGTAAAGGAAGAAGGCGTTCGGGTTCTCAGTTATTGAACTTGATATTGAGCTGCAGGGACCCAAGCAGAACATGAGATGTTGTTCTTCTAACTTGTGCTGAGCTTCATTGGAGCACTGCAGCAAGCTGAGGCAGAAATATTGGCCAGGGAACACAGTGGTATTTTGAAGTAACAGGCAACTGGAAACTGAGGGTCATTTTTTGCAGACAGGACTTAGGTGTTCAGTAAAGTGGTTGCCCAGTCTGCGTTTCATCTCCCCAGTGTAGACAAGACCACATTATGAGCAGCAATTATAGTAAACTAGTTTAAGTGAAGTACAGGTAAATTGAGAGAAAGTGTGTCGGAGCCTTTCATAACGAGGAGGGGGAAGGTGAACAAGTAGGTATTGCGATTGCATGGGAAGGTGTCGTGGGGGGGTGTTGGGAATGGAGGAGGAATGGACCAGGGTATCCCGGAGGGAGCAGTGCCTGCGGAATGCTGACAACTGAGAGGAGGGAAATATGTGTCTGGTGGTGGTATCCCACTGGGGATGGTGAAAATGACAGGAGTGCAGGAAATGAGTGAAATGTGACTAAAGGCCCTGTCAACCCTGATGGCGGCAAATCCTTGGTTGAGGAAAAAAATTGGATTTTCCGAGGCTCCTCTGCCAATGGTGGCTTCATCAGAACAGATGCCATGGAGAAACTAGGAGCCTGGAATGGAGTCTTTACAGGAAACAGGGTGTGAGAATGTATAGTCCAGTTACCTGTGAGACTGTAGATTGCAGTGGATATTGGTGGCTAGCCTATCTCCAGAAATGGAAACAGAGGTTTCGTGGAAGGGAAGGGAGCAGTCAGAGATGGACCAGGTGAAGGTGAGAGCAGGCTGGAAATTTGAAGCGAAATTGATAAATTGTTCAAATTCCAAATGGGAGAGGAAAGCAGCACTGATGTTGTCATCGATGGACTGGAGAAAGAGTTGTGGGTGGGGGCTAGAGTAGGACCGGAACAAGGAATGTTCCATGTACTCCACAAAGAGACAGGCATAACTGCGGCCCATGCAGGGTACCCATTGCCACCCCTTTGATCTGACGAAAGAGAGTGGAGTTAAAGGAGAAGTTGTTCAACATGAGGACGAGCTCGCCCAGGTAGAGGAGAGTGGTGGTGGAGAGCTCTAAGGCTATCATGATGGCGAATTGACGTTCAGAGGGTTTGCACGTCCATGGTGAAGAGGACTGGAAATTCTGAAATTAATGTGAAGGTCAGAAAAATCATGAAGGTAAGTGGGAAGGGACTGGACAAGGGGAGAAAAAAGTCAAGCTGAGGTAGAAAGAAAGCATTCTGCAATACATTCACACAATCTGCATTTGGCCTACCCAATGTAGAGCAGATTACATTATGAGCAGTGCATACAATATACTAATTGAAAGAAATACAAGTAATCATTTTACATCCAGAAACCATAGGAGGTAAGGAAAGGAGGAGGAGGTTAAACAGCACTTACATTGAAATGTAAGGGAAAAAAGGGGGTGTTATGGGGTGTTTAAGGAATGAGCCAGACTGTGGAGGGAACGTTCCATTCAGAATGCTGAGATTAGAGAAGAGGGGAAGTTGTGTTTGGTGGTGGCATCATGCTGCAGGTAACAAAGCTGAATATGGAACGTGGGGACAAGGGGAACTTTGGAGGAAAAGGTGAGAGCAGAAATGTCATAAATAGAATGCAGGATGCAGGGCCCTGTCAAATATATTGATGGGAATCCTAAATTGAGGAAAATCAGAAATATTAGTGTGGAAGTCTTAAATCCTTAGAACATAAATTATAAAGAGTTAGAAACTAGGAAAATGGATTGGTGTTCTTACAGGAAGCGATGTATAAGGAAGTGTATAGTTGAGCTGGCTGAGTATGTCAGTGGGCTTGTAGTGAATATTTGTTGATAGACTATCCTCAGAAATAGAGATAGAGAAGTGGAGGAACGGTACAGTTGCAGAAAATTTGTGCAAAGGTGAGAGAGGAACGGACATTTGAAGGAATGTTGGTGATGTTTTCCATCAGACATCAGCACTGATATCATCAATGTATTGGAAAAAGTGAAATTGGTTGGAGTAGGTGTGGAGAAGGGAAGGGAAGAAAGAGAGGCGGGGAGAGAAGGCCAAGGAGCTCTGCAACCAAACATGTTCTAGGTATCCAACAAGATATCCAAATACTCTAGAATATTTGCAATGCAATCAAAATGTTCATGAAATTTAAATGTCGCATTAGGCGCTCGTATTTCTCAGTGTAATGTGAGCATGAAAATTGCTTTTGTACAGCTTAATCACAAGTGTTGGCAATACCATTTTAAAACAGTAGAGTAGAGCATTGTTATTTGGAAATGTACAGTTTTTTAAAAGAAGAAATTAATTCTGTGAACTTTTGACTAGAGTGCAAAAGGCTATTATGGATACGGTAGCTGAAAGAATGCCTGTGGAAACTCTTGCCCAGCCAGAGCCCAAAGCTGTGAGTAAAGTAAAGAGAAAAGCTCGAGGAATCCTTCAGCAGATGGTGGCCAATATTTCACCTGTTGTGATCAGGTAATTGAGACAGTAACAAAAGCATTGCTTTTGCCAGTTTTCATTTGTAATTAATGTAGACATTTAAAATAATGTTTAAACTATCTGGATTAATTTTCCTGTCATATTCCATTGAAAGTGGCTATTTGGGTGGTCATCTGATCTGAAAGATTGCGCCTTGACAATGCAGTCCACGAATGTGGCAGCTCCTGTCATGGGCCAGAATGCTTGACTGAGAGTTTCAAGTATGGGTTTCACATTCGGGCAAGAATTCTGCCAAGTGAACCAAGCTGACAAACAATCTTCTAAGCTCAGAATTCTGGTAGAGATATAGAAGTTACTGTTCCTTTGGGCAGATAACGTCTGGGTAACAAACAGGTTGATTACCACCCTTTTGCTTTCACAGCTGTTAAACTGAAGGTAAAAATGGCTGCAACAGAATGCTTCATAGTAGTGTGATTTGACAGTTTACTCTAATCTTGTCCTCTGGTATTGTATGTGGCAAACCGTTTTTCAGGAATGGATTCAAGGTCATGAGCTGATCAAACAGGTTTGTTCTACCATGCGTATCATAAATTCATGCCATTGTTACATTTTATTTTATCCCTTTTCATGCTTTTCTTCCTGTTGTGTTTCTTCTCTCCTCCCATCCACCCCCTCTATCATCATATCATTTGATACTTGGAAGGTCATTGTGATAAAAATTCTATTCATTGCACAAAATCACAATATTGCCAACATAAGCAGAAAGCGGTGGCACAACAGATCCTAATCCTGTCATATAGTGTTCTCATCTGTTCCTTCAGAGAAAACAAATAGATTTATAATCAGTAACCAGCTGACAGCTTCTTATAATTCATCAGAAGTCTGTTCAGATTTCTCTTGCTGGCTTGTTACATAAATACATTGGAACCGGAGTGTGCAAAGGTCCCATTTCTGATCAGTGCTGAGTTAGTTGATCAGTCAGAACAGTAATAGACGGTCTTAGCTGTCCTGGAAGGCTGACCAACTGTCCCAGATTTTATGGGACCACCCCAGATTGATTGAGGCTGTTTATTCTTTTGAATGTTGTACATTCTGTAAACGTCATGACAGCCCACTTGTAAAACTTTGGCAGCAACCCCTGCCCTCTGCCATGCTGAGCTATGGCAGGAACCACCGTCTTCCTCTCACCTACCCCCCTCCCTGGCTGTTCTGGCTATGTTTCAATTTCACAATAAAATATTTTCCATGCTCAAATCATTTGACATTTGCATTTTCCATCAGTCGCTGTACAGAACCGCGATTAATGTCACAAGATTTTTGCTTCAGGTTCGGTGAAGAGAAGGGAAATAAAGAAGGGTAATTTGCATCCAATAAACGTTTGTGTAAATAACCTTTTTTTTAAGACTAACAGGTTGGGTGCTGCTAAAACTGTTCAATGGATTTTTTTGGAGCATTCAGATTCACAAAGGGCAGCTGGAAATGGTTAAAAAAGCTGCAGCAGAGGTAAGCAATTACAAATAAGTGCAAACTTAATGAAGTGCAGTGTGCTTGAGTAGGAAATTATATCTGCTTTGCTTGTTAGTTGCTAAGAGTAGAGTGAGAATGATAAGGGTAACTACCTGTTGTGTTGGGAAACACCTGGATCCTGTGCGGTGCCTTCTGATGAATTGTTTACCTTTGCTCACTTGCTCTACGTGGAATCAATAGACATTTAGCATGTTGTTGCTCAGGTATCCAGTTGGCATGATTTGCTGATGATGCTGTAACACTTCAAATCTACTTATTGTTCGCTGAGCTTTAGCATCCCTAGAGACAAGTAGTTCAAAGACCTGACACCAATCTCTCAGTGTTTCCTTTGGATTCAGAGCCCTTGAAAATGCCAAGCGTTAAGCTTACTTTGAATAAGCTCAGCTTTTTCTCATTTGTTACTTTTCCAGTAAAATCTATGAACCTATAACACTATCATCATAAAAATATCACTCAGAAAATACCAGTGTATTAATTAGCAACCAACATTCGTTTCTCAACAGTCCAAATTTTAACTCCTAAACTATTGCCCTAATGTCATGATTATGGTTTATAATTAGAAGTGGGTTGCTAATAGATGCATAATTGAGTAGTGAGCTGACTAGGCATGCTCATGACCCAAATACTTTTTATCTGATGCTAATCTGAGAGAAGTCTTTGCTAGGGAGGAGGAAATTTAAGTAACTTGAAGAAATAAGAGGATTAATTTGAGGTGATTTCTGCAGTTTCCTTAGCATTTTTTTATTTGAAATCTCCTTTTTTTCTAAATAGTTAGATAGTGTAATATAATTTTTTTGTCACATATTCTGATTGGCTCAGGAATGGGTAGATACTTTTAATCAACCTGTTCAGACATGATATGATACACCTCTGGAGTGGGTGGAATTTGAACCCTCTTGCCTAGAGGCAGTCATACTACTGTTAAAACACAAGATCCCCTGCAGGAGTATGTATGCTGGGTGAGACTTAAGTCATCTTCGTTGTCAATGATGCTGTCTTGAGATCAAATTATATGTGATGTTCTTGTGTAATGTGCATTATTTTCCTTACCTCTTGGCCTTCTCCATTGCGCAGTGCTTAATATAAAGTTGCACTGTTTTGATTTCCAAGGCACACTGTGTACTATTTAAAGTTGCATATCAGTGCAATACCAAAGTGTTAGCTCCATTATTTTCCTTTGCTAATTTGGAATGTTACTAAGAAGTTTCTCAGTTGAAATGCAGCCTCAGCACTGCCGAGGCCATACCCTTGCCAACTAAGAACAAAGAAAATGTGAGCGAACGCCAGCAGTCTTTTTCAGGTTGGGGAATGGTGGTTGTGAGTAATGTTTTGGTGGAGAAGAGAGAGAGAGAGAAAGAATACAACCAAGAAGTGCAATAAGACTAAGCAATTTGAATTTTAATAAAGCAATCCCAATGAAACAGTATTGGCAGCTCAGTAGCATTGTCTGAATTTCAAAAATCTTGTTATTTAACTTCATACATTGAGTTACCATAAAGTGAAAAGAAGTATTCTGCATTGAGCTATGAAGAACAAAGTCTAGCTGTTTATATTTAGCTTGTGACAGTGTTAATTTAAGCATTACAGATATTCTAACCTAAGAAGGTAAAGTCATATTGTAACTAGTCCTCCAATTCTTTGAGGATCTTATTTGATGGTAACCAGCATTGTTCCAAACCTGATTCATCCTTTAAATACAAGTTATATTCATTTGTGTAAAAGTGCTTTGGGAGTAGTCAGTTAAATTAAAAGTGATTGATACCCATGGTTGGTAAATTGTGTGGCATTGGACACTGAGAGTACTTTCACATTCTAATCTAATTGAAGTATTTAAATAACATTCTAAATTAAGAGCAATGCTTGAATGATTTTTAACCATTGTTTAAATTTACTTTTAAATTAAATTAGTCTCAATTTACATTTTAAATTAATTTAGTCTCAATTTCTTCCTGTCTCAAATCATGTTTATTTCATTTGCTTTTTCTTTGCTGGGCTACTTTGTTGCTGATCGTAGATCACATTACCTGTAGTAGTTGAGTATCTAACTGTATTCAGGAGGTGCTCATTAACTGGGGACTGACTTGGGCTCCTATAAATATTTTTAATCAATCTGTTGAGACACATCATGACACACCTTTGGAGCAAGTGGGACTTGAACCCAAGTTGGGATAGGGATACTACCACTGCTCCACTTGGGCTCCAATATATATAGGGATGAAAGGGGCTCTATGGTGCATTAGTAGAGTCCCTACTTCTGGGCTAACTGGTCTTGGCTCAAGTTTCACCTGTTCCAAAGATATCGTATCATGTCTCGATAGGTTAATTAGTAATATCTATAGGGGGTTTAAGTGGTCCTGTAGAGTACCTGCCTCTGAGCCTCAGAGGTGTCATAGCACATCTGAACATGTCAGTTAAAAATAATTGGTTGCCTTATATAGAAACATATTGAAACTTGTTGGGTTTAGAAGTGAATATTTGTAATGCATGTCTCTGTAAACTGAAAGCTTTTATGTCTATAGACATTAGGCTCCAGTACTGTCCTCACATCTGTCTGTTTGAAAGAGAACAACATGTACTTTATGTTGGTACTTGATTGATCACACTCTCAAATCTCATTTGTAACTTGTTAATAGGATTTATCCTTGGCATGTTCAATAGTATAATTATTTTCCTTTACTAAAAGGGATGTTATATGAAGAATTGTTGACGTTGAGAAATAGGTATTAAGGATTTGTGGGTTGTTAATACTCATCTGCAGCTTGAAGTGAGATTTTAAAAGTTTGAATTAATTTGCCTACATGCTGTCTTTAATTTGCTGTGTATATATTGTGTTGCAGATCTCCATGCTGTTTGTGTGATGATATTGTCATTGAAAAAATAGGAATACTGATATTACTGCAAGCTTATGTTCAAGGCAATTGTGGCAAAATAAGATGTACCACTAATTGTCATGGATCTAATTTATTGTTACAATGGATAAAATAAACAAAGGATGAATATATTGCATGACATAGATTTTTGTATCCACTTTTATTCAGCTTTTATTTGACCAAGCTTTTGCCTATTATTGAGAGTTTGCTCAAATAAAAGTTTATAGTCCATTAATCTTCTCTTTTCTGCTTTCTCTACAGCAGAATGTCCCGTTGATCTTTCTGCCAGTTCACAAATCTCATATTGATTATCTGCTGCTCACTTTCATTCTGTTCTGTCATAATATCAAAGCACCGCATATTGCTGCTGGGAATAATCTGAATATCCCAATTTTTAGGTGAGTCGAGTTGATCCAAAGATATTTCTCTTCATCTACTCGGTCCCTGCTGGCACAGATACACCAGACAGCTCATTGTACGTCTGAAATCTGATGAGACACTTGCTATTAGATTTTGCTTATAGATATGTTTGTTTCAAAGCTCCAAAAAAATTCACATTTAGGAATTTAAAAATGTGAAGTTTTGTTTAGTAGGTCATAGAAACAGAATTAGGTGCAGCAAGTAATTAAGAAGGCAAATGGAATTTTGGTCTTTATTGCTCAGGGGTTACCGCAATAGAAATTCAGCAGTCTTGTTGCAACTGTATAGGATATTAGTGAGGCCACACTTGGAGTATGATGTACAGTTTTAGTCCCTGTATTTAGATAAAAGGATATACCGGCATTGGAACAATTCTAAAGGGAGTCACTGGACTGATTCCTGTGATGCAGAGGTTCACTTATAGAGATGGCTAACAGGTTAGAAGAATGAGGGATAACCTTGTTTTTTTCTTTATTCATTCACGGGATGAGGACGTCACTGGCTAGGCAGCATTTATCTCCATCCCTAATTGCCCAGAGGGCAGTTAAGAGTCAACCACATTGTTGTGGGTCTGGATTCACATGTAGGCCAGACCAGGTAAGGATGGCAGTTTCCTTCCCTAAAGGACATTAGTGAACCAGATGGGTTTTTCCGACAATTGACAATGGATTCACGGTCATCATTAGATTCTTAATTCCAGTTAATTTTGTTGAATTCAAATTTGACCATCTGCCATGGCGGGATTCGAACCTGGGTCTCCAGAACACTATCTGGGTCTCTGGATTAATAGTCTAGCGATAATACCAGTAGGCCATCACCCCCCCCGAAACATACTTTACCTTATTGAAACATACGAGATTCTGAGGGGACTTGACAGATTAAATGTCGAGAAGATATTTCCATTCATGAGGAATTTTAAACTATGAGATATAGTTATGTAATAAGGGGACACTCATTTAAGTGAGATGCAAAGTAATTTCTAAGGGTGGTAACTGTCTGGAATTTTCTACCCTAGAGATTTGTGGAGGCAAGATGACTGAAAATGTTTAGAGGAGGTGGATACATTTTTGGTATGTTGAGATGTTGTGGGCTATGCATAGCAAGCACAAAAGAGCAGTTGAGGTCTGGGACAGATTAACTGTAATCTTGTTGAATTGTGGGTTTGGTTTCAGGGACTGAATGACCTATTCCTGCTTCCGTTTCTTATATTCTTATATAATGTCAGTTGGTGTTTAACAAAACAATAAATACTTTAATTTAAAAGTAGCAATAATAGATATGAAAAAAAGAGCAAGACATTGGAATTAAAAAGACAAATCTGCCACAGTTAACAACGTAGAGCAGCCTGAAAGGGATGAAATATCTACTCTTCTTCCCTTATCCATAATTTTGAGACGGAGAGAAGTTATTTTGAGTTTAACTAATTTTTTTTAAAGAAAATCCTTGGTGAGAAAAATGGCCATGATGCCCCATGGGAACAGCAGGATGGCTCAGTGGTTAGCACTGTTGCTTCACAGTGCCAGGGACCCAGTTTGATTCCAGCCTTTGGTGGCTGTCTATGTGGAGTTCGTGTGTTTGCCATGGGTTTCCTCCGGGTGCTCCGGTTTCCTTCCATAGTCCAAAGATGTGCAGGTTAGGTGGATTGGCCATGCTGTAGTGTCCACGGATATACAGTCTCGGTGGGTAAGCCATGATAAATACAGGGTTATGGGGATGGAGAAGTGGTGGGGATGCTCTTTGATGGATTGGTGCAGTCTCAATTAGCTGAATGGCCTCTATCTGCAGTGTAGGGATTCTATGATTAAAACCTAAATTTTAATTACACCATTTAATTAAACAAGTTGGAATGGATCAGTATCCTTTGAACTTTAGTATTTTCTTTGATGGGATTAAATTCTCTTTTCTTTGTAAACTCTGAGAGTTCTGTGGACATGTTTGAACAGTTGATGAAGTTATTGATGAATGTGTGTTCGCAGCCTTAGATTACTTATTTTTTTAATAAGTTGGCATTCTTACAAAACAAATTCAGAAGAGTTTTTGTTGTGGAAAAGGGAAATATGACGCCGGGGCAGTGGCTTGTATGTTCGAGGCTCAGTTTAAAGTTTGTTGTTGAAAGAAAGTATTTGTAGTTTTAGACTGCATCTTATTCGTGTCTCTTAGCCTTGATCGCAGCAGTGTTTAAGTAGCAAATCTGTTGTGTGACAGCACAATAAATAAAAGATGTTAGGTGATTGTCTGATTTACTGGTCTAGCCTGGTGACTTGTTTTAAAATATAAACCTTTAAAATTGCATGTAACTATATGATCATAAGTGAAAACAACTATTCTGACACAGCATAATGGAAAAAATGCAGCTTTAAATTGAAGCTGCAAAGATCTTCAACTGCTCAGGAGTCTTTAGTTGCCTGAAAAATTCAAGTTATTGATCTGTCACAGCTAGTTTGTTGCGGACCTTCTGATTTACCTGTTTTAAGATGGTGCCTGTTGATTTTTCAGCACTCTCATAAGAAAACTAGGTGGCTTCTTCATCCGTCGAAAGTTGGATATTGGTGCAGATGGACGAAAGGATGTTCTGTATAGAGCCGTCCTACGTGTGGTACGTTTTGATGTGAATAGTACAGAGTTGAAGCAAATTCTTGGAAGAATTAGCAGTGTATATACACTGCGACGCTGCTGTAATGGGATCTCATGACTGCTGTTACAAGTGGATCGTTTGCGTTGAAAAAGTTCTGAATTGATTTCTCTTTCACTGCACTGTAGTTCTATTATTTTTTCAATACAAAGTGGACTTTGATGCCTATCTGCGTGCAAAGTCTTAGGGGAAGTTTTTTTTTGTTGCATTAATTTGTGTTATTGGCATTCCCACAGATTGAAGTATACTTTTAATCCAGACGTAAACTGAATTTAAGGTGTTGCCCGGCAGTCCACTCTATCAAAACGAAGTTTCTGAACATGAATTTTGACATTTTTAGTGCTGGTGAAAGATTCGACCCTTATTATCTAGGATTTCCTGGGTGTGTGCTTGGCCAGTGACGCTCAACATCCCATAAAAGAATATAAAAAGCGTTCCACTAGTCCATAACTGAACATCTAGTATATCAGTATATTTTTTGTTGCTGGAACAATTAGTTCTTTCAGAATATATCAAACTAAAATATATGTTCAATAATGAAAGGTGCAAGGGATTGTTGAAAGGCCAGTCAATGGTGTATGAGTAAGTAATTATACATCTGGTCTATTTTTATTTGAATGTTATCTGTTCCATTTTGTAGTACATTGGGGAACTCCTCCGCCAGCAGCAATTTATGGAAATATTTGTGGAAGGCACACGGTCTCGGAGTGGTAAACCATACATGGCCATGACGGGCCTTCTTTCTATTGTGGTCGATAGCCTTTATGAAAACACTGTTACCGATGTTATGATTATTCCAGTGGGAATCTCATATGACCGGATCATCGAAGGCAATTACAACAGTGAACAGCTGGTGAGTAGCATTATGCTGTTTTGATTATAGTCAGGAGTGCATTTGCAGATTTTTTTTTTAAACTTTACTATGGTGTTGGCTGAAAATGAAAACATTTATTACAGGTTGTTTAATATAAATGATGCAGTATTGCATCATGGTAGAAAGAAACATCTGTTCCCATTGTACCACTCATTTCTTACAAAACTTTAACCATTAATCTTATAGAGAATGCGTACCCAAGAGAAATGTCAGTGAAGTTTGACAGCTGTTTAAATATTCACTGTTAAACATGTATGTTAGTTCACTTTATATGTAGATCTAACTACTGTTGATTATTCCCTTCCTGTGCATTTGTGCGAATCTTTTAAATTGAGAAGCGGGCGAATTGCTTAGTTTTACGAACTAATGGGAGCCAAATCTATTGACATAATTTTGAAGACCGAGAACTACCTGGTAGACTTTGCAGCATTTATTAGTTTTATGGCAAGCAACCTGCAATGTTCTTTTAAACTAAAAGTTTAATAACTGGTTCAATCCTGAATTATGTATCCTGAAATATGTAAATAAAAGTGCTATTTTCTAGGGAAAGCCTAAAAAGAAAGAGAGTCTTTGGGGTGTTGCACAAGGAGTCTTCAGAATGCTTCGTAAAAACTTTGGCTGTGTCAGAGTAGACTTTGGACAGCCTTTTTCTATTAAGGTGAGTGAGAAAACGGGACAGTCTCCTGCATATAGCCCTTTAAAAATGTGATCTATTCAATATTGTCAAACTAGCTATTCTACAGACTGATTTATTCCCACTATGACCTGAAATATATAAATTGTTGTTCATTTTCCATTTAGGAGTGCCAAAACTGCAGTGCAGTTGAAATACATGGCTTACAATACAAAACATAAAAGGGTTGTGAGATATGAAAGAACATGGCTGATGTTCTCAGAACCCAAAGCAAGATCACTAAGAATATTGTTTTTTTTTCCTCTACATCGATCATTGAGTTGTTGCACAATTTTGGATCCTCTGAATACCTAGAAAGAAACTTGAGCCCCTCCTGTATCTGGACAGTGCTCCCTGTGCTTTCACCAACTAGTTTGTTCTTTCTTGTGAATGTTGCCTTAAGGGTTAAGCTTTTGTTTATTGCTAGAATAAACCACCTTATTGTCATTGTTTTGGCACCACTGTCTTGGCCACCAACTTTTTAAAAGTAAGTGCTTCAAAATTATGCTATTCAAATAGTGATGTTCACTTTAAATTTCCTTGCTATTTTATTTGAAAAATTAGTTCATTTAAAAGGTGCCAGGATTGCTGTTAGTGGAAGTGAAGGAAGTAATATAATTTTTGGTACTACAGGAGTATATCGACGCTCAAAGGAACCGTCCATTGCCTGCTGCTGTCTCCCTTGAGGAGATCCTCCTTCCGAATATTATCTCTGATAGGTAAGATTTATGATAATAGAGGCAAGAATTTATGGTATTTGATTTGTTGAAATGAAACCAATTGTACACTCGTGTAGATTGTTGCAATGGCAGCCTCTAGTCAAAAATGCACAGTAGTCCATTGCCTCTTGAGGGAGGCGATGACCTAAGAACAAAGAACAAAGAAAATTACAGCACAGGAACAGGCCCTTCGGCCCTCCAAGCCTGGGCTGATGCAGATCCTCTATCTAAACCTGTTGCCTATTTTCCAAGGATCTGTATCCCTCTGCTCCCTGCCCATTCATGTATCTGTCTAGATACATCTTAAATGACGCTATCGTGGCCACCTCTACCACCTCCGCTGGCAACGCGTTCCAGGCACCCACCACCCTCTGCGTAAAGAACTTTCCACACATATCTCCCTTAAACTTTTCTCCTCTCACCTTGAAATCATGACCCCTAGTTGTATTATCGCTGGACTGTTAATCCAGAGACCCAGATAACTTTCTGGGAACCAGGTTTGAATCCTGCCGCGGCAGATGATGGAATTTGCATTCAATAAATATCTGGAATTAAGAGTCTAATGATGGCCGTGAATCCATTGTTGATTGTTGAAAAAACCCATCTGGTTCAGTAATGTCTTTTAGGGAAGGAAACTGCTATCCTTACCTGGTCTGGCCCACATGTGACTCCAGATCCACAGCAAAGTGGTTGACTCTTAACTGGTGTCTGGGCAATTAAGGATGGCATAAATGCTGCCTAGCTAGCAACACCCTCATCCCATGAATGAATAAAGGAAAATAAAATCAAAAGATGTGATTACCATCCACACCTTGAACTTTAGTCCTGCCTCCCACACCAACAAACTGGCTTGCCTATGGAGATATTATTTTTAGACTGCAAGTGAAATGCACAGGTCTACCCATATCAGACCAGCAAGCATGATTATTCCCATTGGCCTGCACAAACTGCTATTGGTGAAAGTGGACCTGTTTGGAAATGGTGAGTTTTTGCAAAGGACTTTAAAAACTACACTATGATTCAAGTTAGCATAGTAGGAATTTTCCTAGAGGAGCTTCAGGATCGGATATGTCCCTAATCAGCCTGTTTAAAGATGATGTTACACACTTATGGAGCAGGTGAGACTTGAACCCAGGCTCCCTGGCTTAGATTAGGGACAATACCATGCACCACAACAGTCCCTCTGAGATATTTTAATCAACTTGTCCAGATATAACCATGGAGTAGGTGGGAATTGAATCCAAGCCCTTTGGCTGAAAAGTAGTGACACCACAACTGTGCCACAGGACCCCACAGGTTCAGATTCAGTGATATAAATACTGATTTGTTACAGATGGTGCCTCTGAAATTGGTAGCAGATGACTCTACTTCTTACTGCTTCCGCAGCAATATGATTGAGAAAGGTTTTTCATCAGGATTTGTTGCCTCTGAAAGTTATTTTATGTTGGAAGCTAATGTATGGTGCCATTTCATTTCTCCCCGGTGCATTTTGATTTAATTCCTTATTCTTCAAATGAATGCCATACACTGGCCAACAATTAAGGCAGTCTGTTTCCAGGCCTCTTCTAGTGTTTTTTAAATTATATAACCTTTATTTTTTTCCTCATCTACCTGTTCAGAGATGTTATTATATACCTCTAGAGCAGGTGGGACTTGAACCCAGGCCTTGCGGTCCAGGGACACTACCAATATGCCACAAGAGGGGCCCCACCACTACTAGTGTTGATCTGTAGCTCCAACACCAGGAAATTTTACTTTTACTTGCTGTGTCCTTCGGGTTGTTTGACTCAGATTGGGAATTAAGTCTGTGAGGAGTTACAGGTGTGAATCTGTGAGCTAATCTCATTATGTCACCCTACATGGGACCTCTATTGTTGCAGTTCTGTGCTGCATTAATTAACAGTCTCTGAAGGATTTTTCAGAAGCATCAATTGTTTTTGAATGGTAGCTTGTTCAACTTTCCAAGAAATGATTGTACTATTAAAACTTTGCACCATTATGAGAGAAAGTACTCGTGAACTGAGGCTTACAAAGAGCTAAAAGACAATTTTTGTGTAAAAACATAATTTACACTTTAATCTAGGTTGTTTTGGGTTCCTTTTTGATCATTGATATCTGATCTGCTTCACAGTATTTTCATAATTTTCTGCTTTATCTTAAATAACAATATAGTAGTTATTTCATTGATATGTTATTCCACTCTGCTCTGTATTTTTCCATACAGACCGGGCCTTGATTATGCTGATCCTGATCAGGTTCCAATTATAAATGCCAGAGATTTTTCAGATGAACAATACAGGCGTCAACTGATTTCCAATGTGGCTAAACATGCATTATTCAGTAGGTGTACACTGTAATTATTTGAATATTGATGTTTTTTGGAACTTTCAAATTATACTTGCTGTCTGTTTACCTGAAATAAAATAAAATGCTATTTTATGAATCAGCAATGCAAAGAAAAATTGTAGTTAAATACATAGAAATAGAACTTCCTACCACATTTTGTAGTTGAGTTGAATAGCATAAATGCACATAAGGGAAGTCAGATAAATTCACAAGGGTGAAGGAATGCTGTAGTAGGATATATTGAAACTGTTAGATGGTAGAACTGGAGGAGTGTCATGCCTCTCCCTCAACCTTCAGCCTTAACTGGCATAGGCCAATTGAGTCGAATGGTCTGCTTCTGACCTCTTAATTTTTATGTGATGCTATAATGCAATAGCACTGTCAGGTAAGATAGCAGTGGCTATTCTATAATTGACCTGTTGGGCAAGTGAGTGATATTCAGTAGTTCCCTTCATGTTTGCTGTTCTCAGTCTACATGGGATGGTAAAGGATCAAACTCAGCTCATCATGCATGTGACCATCTCTCAGTTGAACAGCTTTCTGACGTACACTCTGTCAGTTCAGGCACAGGTAGTTCACGAAGGTATTAGCAAGATATTAGTACCTGTTATGTTTCAGTATATTTCATTGCCTACATAAAAGGAAGAGAAAAACATGCAAATTTAATTTGATTTCTTTCCAAATTATTTGAGGGGGAATATTTTGCCATCTTCCTCATTTTTCCTCATTCTTCTAGTCTCCTTTAAAAGTTACAATCAGCAAATCTTTCAGTCATTACTCATCCTGGTTTCATTTTAGAAAGAAACTTGTAGCAAATACATTTAAGAATATTTAGTAGACGTTGATCATGAATTTGTTGATCAGTGTATAAATTGTCTACAAATTGATTTAGGCATTGTATTTATACTTCATTGTTTGATTCATAAATTCCAGCTGCCAGTAGATGTTCTGCTGTGATGTCCACTCACATTGTTGCATGTTTGCTGCTTTACAGGCACAGAAAGGTGAGAGCTTTTCATTTGTGAGCCATGTATTGAGGATGACAAGTGCTACCATGTGCAAAAGATACAAGTGTTATTAAGTATGTTACTTTGGAGGACTTTAGTCCAACTGCAGAGATAAGTGTGTGCAGATGGATGACTTTGAAATTGCGTATCACATGCCCTTAAATTACTTGGACTAAATCTTTGTCGTTTCTTTGCATGAAGCTTTACACGTGGGAACATAAACTGGAGATGGCAACATCTTCAAGTTCCCTATTTGGCACCAGCAATGTTGAATTTTGCAGACACACAAAATAAATCAGACTGTCATGCAAAAAGTTTGTCCATGTGTGGAGTCTAGTAATTGTAAATACATTTGCTAAAAATGTCAAAAAGTAAATATGCATGCGCAATGAAGAGCTGCATTTTTAAAAAAATAAAATTTTGATATTTTGAAGTAAGTTAAAATACGTCAGGTAATTCTAATATCTGCCTTATTCCATTTACAATAAGATTCTTTGCAATTTGCAACTGTAGTCCTGCATCCAGTAGAATAGATATAGAGCGCTTCATGATTGTCATTGACAAACTTTACAGGCATTACCAATCACAATCCAGCCACACATTATAAAATCATAGAATTTTATAGTAAAGAAGGATGCCATTCAACCCATCATGTCTGTACATGATTCCTGAAAGAGCTAGTCCCACTCTCTAGCCCTATCCACGTAGCCCTTCTCAATTTGTTACTTTCAAATATATAAAGCCAGCTCTATTTTATTATCTTATGGAATCAACCTCCACCACTCTCCCAGACAGAGCATTCCAAATCCTGACAACTCTGATTAAAGAAGTTTCTCCTCATCTCACTCCTAGCTCTGTTGCTGACAATCTTGAAATTGTGATCCCTAGCTACTGACTTACCAAGTAGTAGAAACAGAATATCGTTCTGTTGTTCATAATTTTGAACACTTCAACAAATTCACCTCATAATCTTCTCTGCTCCATTAATTAAATCAGTTAATAATTATACTTGTATTAGGAGCAAATCCTGCATTAGATAGCTGAAAAGAAAGTACAGATTTTGTTTTTTTTAATATCTCTTTGAAATATCAGCATTGCATATGCAGAATAGGTATTATAACGAGAGGTTGAGTGAAATTTTTGTTTCATAAGCATCGTGACCCAAGTAACAATTGTGGAACATCTCATGTATGACTCTGTGATTGTAAGGAACACTGAGTCTGTGTAAAAAATGTTGGTTAGGCCACAGGTAGAGTATTGTGTGCCATTGTGGAATCCACATTATTAGGAGCAATGTGATAGCATATGGAGAGTGCAGCGGAGAATGTTATCTGGGCTTGAGAGTTTCACTAATGAGGAGAGATTGGATAGACTGGGGTTGTTATCCTGAAAGCAGAGGAGACTGGCGGGAGATATGACTGAAATGTATAAAATTATGAGAAGCATAGATGGAGTAGACAGGAAGGCACTTTTCCCCTGGGCGGAGGGATCAATGACCAGGGGACATTAATTTAAGGTACGGGACAGGAGGTTTTGAGGGGTTATGAGAAAAAATATTTTCACGCAGACAGTGGTGGAAGTCAGGAATTTACTGCCTGTAAGGGTGGTAGAACCAAGACCCCTTGTAACATTTAAGAAGCACTCGGGTGCACTTGTGATGCTAAGGCATACATGACTATGAGCCAAGGGCTGGAAAATGGGATTAGAATAATGGGGTGCTTGTTTTTAACTGCGAACATGTTGGGTCAAAGGGCCTTTTTCTGTTCTGTAAACCTGTTTGACTGTGTGTGAACTATAGACCTGTTTCATAATTGAGTAAAAGTTTGCACCACTCTCCAGTATTCCTTATTACTTCGTGGGTTGCTTCTTGAAAAGTTAGAGGGAGTTCAAAGCAGAAATTGGAGAATTTTAACTCCCACGTGAAGCAACTCAGTGTAATTAGCACAAGGAGTGTTTGAGACTGGTAATATGAGTTACTTAGATTTTAGCTTCTCTCATAGAGTTGCTCTTTCATTAGAGAGAGAGAGAGATAGATGACTGGTAGCAGTTTGATCTTAGGGTTACCATGCCTCAGGCAAGGGGAGCTGTTGAGACGGCAGGACCTTCATGGTAACCTCAGCCAGTATGGGAAGATGAACCCATACTCTTGGTGTTATTTTGCACTGCAAACTAACTGAACTGACCATCCCCTACTGTGTAAAGTAGTTTTACTGTCTTGTTATAGTGATTCCCCAGTTAAAAGAGGAAAATCATCAAAATCGGGAATGCCGCAGCCCTTTGTTAAGTTAAATGTATGATTTTAATCTGATTTGCCTGCTCTCTCTAAAATAAATTGCATCCCCTTCATGAACAAAAACCAAGTTTGCTGGAAAAGCTCAGCAGGTCTGGCAGCATCTATGAAGAAATAAACAGAGTTAACGTTTCATGTCTGGTGCTGTTAACTCTGTTTTTTCCTTCACAGATGCTGCCAGACCTGCTGAGCTTTTCCAGCAACTTTGTTTTTGTTCCTGATTTACAACATCCGCAGTTCTTTCATTTTTTATTTTGCATCTCCTTCATAATGTGTTTGGTAAGGTCTTGACTTAATTAGAGACTTATTTTTCCCGACTCCTTGCTTTTATTCAGGGTGTCCATTTATCAAAGTTAGTGGAAGATTTCTTCTGTATGAAGGAGGTGGTGTTAGCTCGGGATTTTGATTTGGGCTTCTCTGGAAATTCTGAAGACGTTGTTATGCATGCACTGCATTTACTGGGAGAATGTGTCAATGTCAGAAGCTCCCGTCGCAATAGTGAGTTCTTTATTGCTCCAACTACAACAATTCCAGCCTTGTTTGAACTGAATTTCTACAGCAATGGTATCTTCCAAGTTTTTCTCACCGAAGCAATACTTGGTAAGTGCTAAATTTCAAAGCATCAGCACTAGATGGCAGTTAGCAGCATCTTCTATTCATTGATTGTTTTGAATTAATTTCCAGTTAATCTACTTAGACAAGCATAATATTCGAGCCTTGTACAAGCTACAAAACAAATGATAAAATTGGAAAATCTCAATGAGTCTTGGTAATAGTGCAAAGTATATTTAAAATATGTACGTTTCTGAATTTGATGGAAAATTATGGGGGTGAATTTTGATTCCACAATTGCATACCCATTAAAGCATTAATAATGAAAAGTGTGAAATATATTTATATAGCCAATTTCCTTCATTTTTTCAAACAATTCAATTAGTTCACCTTTTATGGAAATCTTTCTCAGGCTTAATGCAAAGAATGAAGGAATTGGACTAATTGGATATTCTTTCAAAGCTACCACACAAGAATAATTGGCTGAATTACCTCCCCTTGTACTCATAGCTCAATCCCTTCATCACAAGTATCAACAGAATGAAAGGTTTATCCAAGACCAAAAGCAATGTGGATCCTTGAAGTTATTTTTCACAGAGGTGTGTGGGTGTAGAGGTTTGGACATTAAGGGAATTAAGGAATATGACTGTAGTTCGGGAAGCTGGAATTTATGATCAGGAATTATACTGAATAGCAGCGGAGGCTTAAGGTGAAGTGGCCTACTTCTGTTCCTATTTTTATGTTCACACATCTGATGTTGGCATTGCTGACTGGGTCAGCATTTATTTCCCATCAGTGGTTGCCCTTGAGAAGTTGGTATCTTCTTGAACTGCTGCCATCCATGTACTGTAGTTAAACCTACAACGCTGTTAGAGACAGAATTCCAGGATTTTGTACCAATGACACCAAAGGAATGCCAGTATATTTCCAAGTCAGGATGGTGAGTGGCTTAGAAAGGAACTTGCAGGTGGTGGTGTTCCCAAGTATCTGCTGCCCTTGAACCATAAGACATAGGAGCAGAATTAGGCTATTCAACCCATTGAATCTGCTGCGCCATTCAACCATAGCACATATATTTCTCAACCCTGTTCTCCTGCCTTCTCCCCATAACCATTGATTCTCTTACCAGAACCTGTCTTTTTCTGTCTTAAATACACTTAATGACTTGGTCTCCATGGCCCTCTGTGGCAGAATTCCACAGATTCACCACCTTATGGTTGAAGAAATTCCTCCTCATCTCAGTTCTAAAGGGTTCTAGTCTCTCCTACTATTGGAGCCATCTTCTCCATGTCCATTCTATCCAAGCCTGTCAGTATTTTGTAAGTTTCAACCAGATCCCCCTCATCCTTCTAAACTCCATCAGATACAGATCCAGAATCCTCATTCATTCCTGAAATGACAACCCCTTCATCCTTGGGATTATTCTTAGTAAACCTCCGTGGACCCGCTCCATGGCCTGCATGGCCTTCCTTAGATTTGGGGCCCAAAACTGCACAAATGCAGCCTGATGAGAGCCTTCTACTGCATCAGCTGTACATCGCTGCTCTTGTATTCTAAGCCTCTTGAAATGAATGCTAACATTACATTTGGCTTCCTAACTGCCAACTAACCTGGATGCTAACCTTAAGAGAATCCTGAACCAGGACTCCCTTTATTTTTCAGATTTCCAAAGCTTTCCCCATTTAGAAAATAATCTGTCCTTCTATTCTTCCTACCAAAGTGTATCACCTCACACTTGCTCACATTGTATTCCATCTGCCTCTTCTTTGCCCACTCTCCAACCTATCCAAGTCCTTCTGCATCCTCCCCACATTCTCAATACTATCTGCCCCTCCACCTATCTTTGTCTCATCTACAAACATAGCAACAATGCCCTCAGTTCCTTTGTCCAGATCGTTCATGTCTAACTGGAATAGTTGTAGTCCCAACACACACACCTGCGGAACTCCACTAGTCACCGACTGCCATCCTGAAAAAGATCCCTTTATCCCTACTCTACCTTCTGCCAGTAAGCCAATTTCTATCCATGCCAATACCTTGCCCCTAACACCTTCTAAGGTGGTAATGGTCATGGATTTGTAAGGCGCTGCCTTAGAACTTTGGTGAATTTCTGCAGTGCATCTTGTAGATGCTACACACTGCTGCTCCTTAGCATTGGTGGTGGATATTTGAGGATGTGGTGCTGATCAAGTGGGTTGTTTTATCTTGGATTGTGTCAAGTTTTTTGAGTGTTGTTGGAGCTGCACTCAACTGGACAAGTGGGGAGCATTCTAATGCACTCCTGATTTGTGCCTTGTGGACAGGCTTTGGGTAGTCAAGAGGTGAGTTACTCACTGCAGAATTCCTAGCCTCTTACTTGTTCATGTAGTCATTGTGTTTGTATGGCTGATCCAGTTGAATTTCTAGTCAATGGTAACTCCAGGATGTTTTTTAGTGGGGGATTCAGTAACGATATGCCATTGAATGTCAAAGGGCAGTGGTTAGATTGTCTGTTATGGGAGATGCTCATTGCCTGACATTTGTGTGGCACGAATGTTAGTTGTCGCTGTCAGCCCAAGCCTCAATATTATCCGGACTTGGACAATTGGACATGGACTGCTTCTGACCTTACGATGGAGGGAAAATCATTGAGGAAGCACCTGAAGATGGTTGGGCTTAGGACACTATCCTGAGGAACTCCTGCAGAGATGTCCTGCAGCTGAGATGACTGACCTCCCACAACCACAGCCATCTTCCTTTGTGCCAGGTATGACTTCAACTGGTTGAGATTTTCCCTCTGATTCCAGTTGACTCCAATTTTGCTAGGGCTCCTGGATGCCACACACATAACACCATATGTTCTTGCCCTACTAAACTGAGCACAGTGTGTTTCAATTGAGGTCTGACCAACGTGTCTTTGCAAAAATGGAAAGAAAGTAGCCTTTTATCACTAGACTGTTGGAGTTTAGTTGATAAACTTATTTTTCAACTTAATTAACTAGAGTAATATATAAAAGCAGCATTAGGTCTTTCAGCATACAATTTCCAATGGGTTCACTTCCATTTGTCAGTGTTTGTACCGCACATCAGTAAATTTTGGCAAAGTGAAATGGAATGAAAATTGATATGTGCTTTGTTTCTTTTTATGATAACAAAAAGTTTCTGAGGCAACCTAAGAAATGTCTTTGAGTATAATTTTTTAGAACTGAACAAGTAGCAGTTTCACTGTCCTATTTCTAGCCAATTCTCATTCTTTCTTTCACTGTATTTCAGCCTGTTCTCTGTATGCTATTCTGAAGGAGAAGATCATAGAACCAGGCCAAATGGAGCTAACAGTCAGCCAAGAAAGACTTATTCGCACAGCTGCTAGTTTGTGCCACTTCCTTTCCAATGAAGTGACAGTGGCCTTGGTAAGTGCAAATGAGCTGCATAAGCCTTCCTATCTGATTGATGTCTGTGGAGATTTCAATAATTTTGGCTTAATAGACAAATTGCGACGAGTCTGGAATAATTAGAATAAGATGTGAAACTTAGAATTTTTAATAAAATGTATCTGTTTTGATCACAATGTGAATCATTTATAGTGTATTAAATATAAATTTATCTCGCCCTTTCCATTTCTATTTGTAGCCCTGCCAGACTCTCTACCAGGTTTTCCATGATGCTGTTGGAAAGTTTATTCAGTATGGCATCCTGATGGTGGCAGAGGTGAGCCAACAATTGACTGGACTTTTAGATGTATGAACAACTACATCATTTGTAAATTTTCAACCACATGTATGAAGTGACATAAGTTGTCTAAAGAAACTACCCAAGTCTCTTTTTTTTCTTTCTCTGCTTGAGGTAATTCTTCGGGAAACAATGAGGTTACATTTACACGAAATCAGGTTGAACCACAGAAGAAAACATTAAAGATGCCATAATCTTGATTTGCTTTGACCTGATAATGTATAAAGCGTTAGTTCCTGTGGCAAGTTTCTTGAATTTTTGGCTATGATTCTCAAACAGAACCTGTAAACAATTACTTTTTTAATTATCCAGAATTAGATCATAGATTATAGAATCCCTACAGTGTGGAAACAGGCCCTTTAGCCCAACAAGCCCACACCATCCCTTGGAGCATCCCACCCAGACCCATCCCCCTATAACCCACCTAAGCTGCACATCCCTGGGCACTATGGGCAATTTAGCATGGCCAATCCACCTAACCTGCACATCTTTGGACTGTGGGAGGAAACTGGAGTATCTGGCGGAAACCCACGCAGACACGGGAAGAATGTGCAAACTCCACACAGACAATTGCCCGAGGATGGAATTGAACCCGGGTCCCTGGCGCTGTGAGGCAGCAGTGCTAACCACTGTGCCACCGTTAGAAGTTAGAAGATTATTCTCAGTTCCTTAAAATGTTGCTGATCTAAATCCCACACCGAGAGTAAACTGCTCAAACTCCCACTATAGTGTTCTGGTGGACTTTTAATTCTAAACTACCCCAGCAGCATAAACTTGTTCACTTACTTTCTTTCTGAATTTTTGTTATTGTAATTTATGATACCCTTTAAGGCAAGGTGGCTCGTAAGTCATTCTATTGCAATTCAATTATTTTTACATAGATGTTAGATACTGTCAGAAAGATAGGTTTGCATGTATATAAAACCATGACTCAATATATAGGCTTTGACCCTATTGTACACTTTTAAGGTTACACACCCAGGATGACTACATAAACTGTTCTACTGTTTGTTTGAGGCTTGATCTCACTGCTCCTCTGTCTCTCACACACTTACATGCCTGCACATGTAACCCCATTCAGTCAGTTAAGACTTATGTCATCCGAGGTAGTATCAATTAGAACTTTCAATTGTCGTTCAGTTCTTGAGGTAACCATATTGTTCCATGTCAGCATTTTGCTTACACAGATGTATATATCTTTGGTATTCAATTGTTATAATGCAGTGTAATGTTAGCCATACGTAACTCATGTATTTTTCAAATCATAACTAAGTCTTTGATGATCAAATCTTCAGGAGGATCTGAGCCCCAGTCCAACAGAGGAAACATGGGCTAATAAATATCCAGATGGTTTATCATGGAGAAGTGATGAAGAGGATGACAGTGATTATGGGGAAGAACAGAGAGATCGTTATCTAAAGGTGTTGTATTACAAAATCATTTAGACTTTATCAGATTATATGATTTCAGCAGTTTCATCCTCAATTGCAGTATAGCGTGGTTTGGCACTCGAAAGTTGAGTGTTTATGCACTAGCTGTGTGATTACTATTATAAAACAAGCAGTGCTTTCTATGATGCGTCATTTGATGCTGGAAATATACAAAAAGTTTTATGTCCTTACCTCAGCAATGTTTGATAATCAACGTTAGTGGAATTGATTGATCTCTCCAAAAAATGTTACTTAATTCTCCAGTCTGTTTAGTCTATGCAAAATGCATGAAGTGGTCCCTGCTTACCATCTTGATTGATTTTCTATTCAGTGCTACTGTCATATGTGGGCAGCATCAGAGGGTTGGAACCTGGATTATTGACTATACTATAAAGTGTTGGAAATCACTCACACAATTGCCCAATAATTGAGCAATAATGCCCAAAATCAACTAGTACATTAAGATATTGTGTTTACAGATACAACTTATTCTAAAACTTAACTGTTCTAGGTGAGCCAATCTCAGGATCATCAGGAGTTCATCACCTTCCTACAGAGACTGTTGGGCCCTTTGTTGGAGGCTTACTTTGCAGCTGCTGTTTTTATTCAAAGCTTTAGAGCTCCAATTGAAGGTGGGTTTTACTGAGGACTTGTGGTTATGATGTTTTTTAACAAATACATTCATTCATGAGCTAAGTCAGCATTTCTTTTTCACTCTTAATTCAACATCATTTGAGGTTTATTTATCAAAATTAATTTTTGTTGTGGCCAAGAACCTAATTGAGGTAAACTTTACAATCTTTTATTTTTCTAAACACAAAAAGCAATAGAATAGAGTAAAATAACACATAGATGTTTAGATTTATGTATTGAGATCAGTAGCTTGAAGCTGCTATGAGATCTGTCTGCAGGTAGCAAATAACAAGGCTTGGGGTTTGGCAGTGATCCCACTAAAGAAGGGCAGAGCTGATCGTGATTGTTCTTGACTGCAGCTAAGCCATAATCATACAAAACATTTGATTTTAAATGGTAACCAGGGCCAAGAATGACTTGGCAAACCTCTTAACACTTCTGATGTCTCCACGTTGCTGCTTTGTGACTCTCCTTGATCACAGAGGTACCCTATGTTCCAGTACAGGATGACTGAAGTTGTGTAATTGGCCTTGAGAAGTTAGCAGTAAAGTGCCTTTTATAGCTGCCGCAGTGTATGTGGTGTAAGCCAATCCACGATGGTGTTAGATAGGGAGTCCGAGCATTTTGACCCCTGATGAGGAGGAACAATAGTATATCTCCAAACCAAAGTGGTGTGAAACTTGGAAGGGGACTTTAGCGATGGTGTGTTCTTAAGTGCCCTTGTCCCAGGTGTTAAAGATTGCAGTTTGAGAGGTGCTGTTGAGGAAGCCTTGGTGGGTTGCTGCTGTGCATTTTGTAGGTGTCATACATTGCTGCCATGATGCACCAGTGATGGAGGGTGTTTAACTTTTAAGATGATAGATGAAATGTTGATTAGCTGGGCTGCTTTGTTCTGAATATTGTTGGTGCGATACTGATCCAGGCATGTGGGAAATATTCCCTTCCACTGTCATCTCTTACATGGTCATGGTGGATAGGAGTTAGGGACCGAGTTACTGAAGAATTCCCAACCTTTGACCTATTCTTGTATTTTCAGTATTAATGTCACTGGTCCAGTTACGATTCTGATCAAAGGTGGCTGACTGCAAATTAGAGTCTTTCAATTTATCATTGAATAAGCAAACAGCTTTCATGGTTGGAAATCAAGTGAGCTTTCATAAAGAAAATATAAACTTTTATTGATGTGGTTATCAGGGTCCTTACAAATGTACAGAGATCTTGGAAAAGCACCAGGAGTGCTCTCAAGTTTTAGAAATATTGTAATGGATTTGTAAAAAATTGTTCACGGCAAGTGGGCACCGCTGGCTAGGTCAACATTTGTTGCCCATTCCTCATTGCCCTGGTGAAGGTGGTGGTGACTGCTTTCTTGAACTGCTGCAGTCCTTGGTATGTACAGGCATTCATAGTGCTGTTAGGAAGAGTTTCAGGATCTTCGAACAGGTAAACAGTTGCGCGTCAGGATGACATGTGGTTTGGAGGAAATCTTGCAGTTGGTGGTGTTCCAATACATTAGCTGTTTTGTCATTCCAGGTGGTAGATTTGGAAGATACTGTCAAAAGAGTCTTGCTGAATTATTGCAGTGCATCTTGTAGATGTACAAACAGCTGCCATTGTGTATCAGTGGTGAATGGGTAAATGTTGACGGTGGTGAATGTAATAAGAGTCAAGTAGGCTGCTTTGTCCTGAGTGTTATCAAACTTCTTGATTTCTGCTGGACCTGCATTCCTCCAGGCAAGTGGAGTGTATGCCATCACACTCCTAAGTTTTGTATTGTAGATGGTAGATAGGCATTGAGAACAGGAGGTGAGTTACTTGCCACAGAATTCCTGGCCTCTAATCTGCTCTTGTAGCCATAGTTGGTTGTGTTTAATTTCTCGTCAGTGTTAACCCCCATGATGTTGATAGTGATATTTAGCTTTGATAGTGTCTTTGAACAACAGGGTCGGTGGGTGGGGGTGTGGCCATTGGTGAACAGTCAGATTATCTTTTGTTGAAGTGATCCTAGACCATAGCACCATAAGAAATAGCAACAGGAGTAGGCCATTCAGCCCCCCAAGACTGCTCCACCACTCAAGAGGATCACGCCTGATCTGAAACTACTCACTTCCACTTTTCTACCTTTCCCCATAACCCTTGATTTTCCCTATTGATCATGAATCTATCTATCTCAGCCTTAAATATACACAAGGACTCTGCCTACACTGCTGTCTGTGACAAAAAGTTCCAAACACTCTCAACCCTCTGAAAGAGAAAATTCCTCCTCATCTCAGTCTTAAATTGGCAACTCTTAATTCTGAGACTATGCATTCTGGTTCTAGAATCTCCCATGAAGGGAAATATCCTCCCAGCATTTACCCTTTCAAGCCCCTTAAAAATCCTATGCAATTCAATGAGATTACCTCTTATTCTTCTAAACTCCAATGAGTAGAGTCCCAACCTGTGTAATCTTTGCTCATAAAACAGTTCCTCAGCACGAGGGATCATCCTAGTGAACTTTCCCTTAACTGCCTCCAATGAAATGGTTCCCCAAAAATGTAACCATCATTTTTTAGTCCAAATCTGGATGTTGTTGCTGCTTCAGTATCTGAGAGGTGGTGAATGGTGCTGAACATTGAGCAATCATAGTGGAGATTCCAACTTCTGACCTTATGATGGTAGAAGGTCATTAATAAAGCAGCAGATGATGTTTTGGTTGAGAACACTATCCTGCAGTGATGTCCTTAGAATGAGATGATTGATCTCCAGTAACCACAATCATGTTTGTTTGTATTCAGTATGACTCCAACCAGCAGAGAGGTCCCCTCGATTCCCATTGACTCCATGTTTTGCTCAGGCTCTTTGATGACATACTTAGTCAAATGTTGCCTTAATATCACGGACAATCACCCTCACTTAACCTCAGGAGTCCAGTTCTCTTTTCCATATTTGAACTAGGGCATAATTAATTCAGGACCTGAATGGCACTCACCAAACTGAGTGTCAGTGAGCAGATTATCAATTTTCAAAACAAGTCATAAAATCAAACCTATTAACTGGAAATGAATCTTTGAATGAAAATATGTTTTGATCAGTATTTGGTCAGTATACTGGTATAATAGCTGTTTTCTTTGTTCTGCCTGGTCACCAGCTGTGTCAAATAATTTCTCAAAATTCAACACTAAACTGTAACTGCTTTTGTTAGTGTTTCTCCATAACAATAATCAGTTTATAAAAGAGTTACTTGTGTATTTTTCTTTCCTTTTCAAACAGTAGTTTATTCATCAGTTGAATGTGTTTGATAGAATGCTTCACAAAATAAGGGAGAAACAAAATGCAATCTAATTGTCTGCAATAATCTGTTTTCATGTGTAAATGGCTATGTTATAGTTTTCAGAAATATGTTATTGTTTTTCAGAAGCTGAATACATCAGCAAGTTTCACAAGTATCTGTTATCCAGAACAGAAATGAAGGTTGCAGTATTTGGTGAGTTCTGAACAAATACATTATGTTGCTATCATCCCAACTTAAATCCTTTTTACACAGAGTGACTAAACTGCGTCCAAGAACTTCTAAAGTAAATGATTATTATTTATTTCTGCACATTTTTAAGATCAATCCTAATCTTTCTGATGATTTGTATTTGCCTGTTTATAAAAATACTATTACACTTTATAAACATAACCAGAATTAGCTGATTAAGCTTTGGTTTAACATTTAACCCATAAATCAGCATGTCTAGCAATAGTAGAGCTAAAAAACAGGAGAGGTCCTTTGCAGGTCTGGGAGAGGGAGGCTCTGAGCTGGGGTAGGCTTGATTGTAGTGTCTGGAGATGCCGGCGCATTGCTGCAAGTGTGTGTTTCAGGAGTCGCAGGGAGAAACGCTTCTGAAGGATCTCAA